TTCCTGTCCCCCCCTCCTCCTGTCTAGCCCCGTGGCCCCAGGACACCTCCCACCCCAAATCTGCTTCCCCCCCCCACGATCAAGTGTGTCCAGTTTTTTGGCAGGGTCTACCTGGCAACCCTATCTGTGTTAGAGAGCTCTTTCTGGTTAGTCACTACACTCTGAGACCTCTCCACCTCTTAGGGATCCCACTTGCATTTCAGGTTGGCTGGTGGCAGTACTCTTACTAGCGTTCCAGTGTGGAACATGCTTGCTTCTGCAAGTTGTCTCTCTGTGCTCTTAAAAATTATCTGAAGATATTTAAGGTATGTCTAGACTACAGATTTTTTTTTTTAAAAAAGTGGCCTTTTTTAAAAAAAACTTCACCTGTGTCTAGACTGCTATTACGTTCTTTAAAAATTAAGTCAAAAGTATGTCTTTTTTTTTTCAACAATGGTAAGCCTACTTTTATGAGGAAGAATGCCTTTTTTTGAAAGAGCTCTTTCGAAAAAAGGCATTCTTGACCGTAAACAGGGCTTTTTCGAAAGAGAGCTTCCAGATTGCCTGGGTGCTCTTTTGAAAAAATGGCTCATTTTTTCGAAAGACTTGGAGCTGTCTAGACGATCTCTTTCGAAAAAGGCTTGTAGTCTAGACATACCCTTAGTGTTGTGCTCATTACTTCTTCTTTCTATCTCTGTCTGTACTGAGCCCATCTAAGGGTGTGTCTAAACTACATGGCTCCATCGATGGAGCCATGTAGATTAGGCTGATCGTCAAAGGGAAATGAAGCCGCGATTTAAATTTAAATGGCTGCCGCACTGAGCCGACAAACAGCTGATCAGCTGTTTGTCGGCTCAGTGCGGCAGCCATTTAAATTTAAATCGCGGCTTCATTTCCCTTTGACGATCAGCCTAATCTACATGGCTCCATCGATGGAGCCATGTAGATTAGGCTGATCGTCAAAGGGAAATGAAGCCGCGATTTAAATTTAAATGGCTGCCGCACTGAGCCGACAAACAGCTGATCAGCTGTTTGTCGGCTCAGTGCGGCAGCCATTTAAATTTAAATCGCGGCTTCATTTCCCTTTGCCGAACAAACAAATCTACATGGCTCCGTCGATGGAGCCGTGTAGTTTAGACGTACCCTAAGTTATCTTTTGTCTCCTTGATTTTTAAGAGGTGCTCTTTAGGTTTTTTGAAGGATCTGTTTATCTGAATTTTTCCTTCATGTTCTGTACAACACCTGTGGGTTGCAAAATAAAATGTATTATTCTGTCTTTCAGATATCACTACTGATTGGATTCATCTGTGTGAGGAATTCAGCATGGACAAATTATAGTGCATACAGCTACTTTGAAATAGTCACCATGTGTGACTTCATTATGATTCTCATCTTCTATTTTGTCTACCTTTTCAGAGTGTACAGAATGCTCACTTGTATTAACTGGCCACTTGCGGTAAGTGCCATAGGTGGGATCGTTCCCCCGCACCTCTCATTCACTAATCTCTGTGGTTGCTCTGTCTAGTTACTTGTGGTGCCACTGCTTTTTTTCTCTGTTTCTCAGGAACTCTCTTCTTCTCCTTCATGAGTGCTTTGACCAGTGACTTCATCCCTACTGTCTGCTTACTGAACTGGTGCATGCTGGCACTTTCACACATTCCTTGAGTCTGATTCTGCTCTCCCTTACAGCAGTATAAACTGGAACTAACTTATTTGACGGCTTTAAAGTTACTTTGATGCAGATGAAAGAAAACTAGAGTTCTCCATGTCCAGTGTTCCTGTTAAGCCAGCATTGAGCAGATTGACCCTGAGGCAAGCACCAGTTAAGGATGAGTTCAGGGTAACAACGTGTATAACTGCTGTCTTGTATACAGAAGCTGTAAAGCCCATCTCGTGGAATAAACAAACTTTACTTCCTAGTGGGAAGAAGCTTCAGACGACCCATTTTAAAATACCCTGGAAAAAAATCTTTTTGTCTGTGTGTGTATAGGGAGGCTTTGTTTTGTTTTGTTTGTTTGTTTATTGTGCCTTTGTTTCTGGTTTTAAAACTTCTTCTGGACCGTGAGTTGTCTTTGGAGCTGATCTCCAGTTCTTCCCTGTTCCATGGCAAGGTTTATTTCAGCAGCTTCCCTCACTACTGGCCTGTTACTTGTGCTTCCAACTGCTGAGCTGCATTGCTTTTTCTGCTGTTGGGCTAAAGCACTGGAGGGACCAATCACACTCGCAGTGCACCACAGTCATCGTCCTAATACAATTCTATAGCCGTCTTCATTCACAGACCTCTGAAAAGGTGGGTGAGCCTCTTTATCTCTACTATAAAGAAAGAAAAGCCGAGATCCCAACTGGTTAAGTGACTTGTCCTAGGTCACACACAAATTACTACCATATCTGACCATTCTGCCACATAGATTGCATGCTAGTCAAAAACACTTCTGTTCTTTCACCTTATTCTGAAAGTGGTAGCAACTCCTCCTCTGCAGAGCTGTTCGATAATGGGGAGGGAGGGGGGAAGCGGAGTTTTCAGGAAAATCTCTTCCAACTTTTTCCATCAAATTTGAAATATTTATGAAAAATTCCATGAGCTTGTGAGTTGTGACAATAGCTGGCCAGCTCTACTTACCATGTCTTGCAGCTGTGGGAAAAGGAAAGCTTCGCATCAGAAATATAGCTACTGTGTGGGATTATTTCATATGCCATCATTCCCTTTCACTAGCTATTTTCTTCTGTTTTCCTTATTTGCTTTATTTCCCCCTAACCATTCTTTTTCCTTCAGAGTCCTCCATACTTTTGATAAGTTATGTTATACTCTTTTCCTCCTCCAAAGTAATATAGTGTTGGTTATTGGTGCAGATTCATAATTGTTGCGTAGTTTTATCTGGAATTTCTGTGTTTATGAAACATAGCAGAACAAATGAACAGGTTGCCAGTATGTAGCAATCATGAGCCACCTCCAAACCTCATGTCTGCAAATCCTCATTTTTCTGAAAATCTGAATCTGAATTTTCCTTTATAACTGACCAAATATTACAAGATAGCCAAAATTCAGATCCGAACTTTGGAGTCTGGGGCTCTCTGATTATAACCTGATATATTGTACTTGGTTAACAGAAGAAAGATGTAAGCTTGTATTATAAATACTGGGTGACAGTGAATCGCTGGTGAAATGCCAGGATTTCATTTATTATATAGTGGAGTCTACATTAAATATAAATGCAAATGAAACACAAAATCTAAAAACCAGAGCTGTGATTATTGAGTGACTACATACAACAACATAATACTCATGTGAAAACAATCCCATTAAAAATTCTTAGCTCTATTGTTAAATATTGTCAAAGCTCCTGAAAGATTGTGTATCCACTGAAACACCAAGTCAAATGCATATCTACTGCTCCCCCATATGAGAATTTGGCCATTTGATTCTGTCTAATAGGTATTACAAACGAATCTTGCATCCTTATTATGTTAATTTCTGGAGAAAGTCTAGGTAAGAAAAATCCAATATTTTTTTCAAAGTATTTAGACCATTTCTGCTTTGATATAACTTTGTTAGTTTTCAAAGATATACTACATCTGGCAGTTGCATCTTTCCTTTTGTATTCATTGCATTGGACAGTTACAGGCCTCATTCTTTACTGCTGCTCTGATTGTGAAAATCAGTGCAAAATGCAACCAGATCAGAATGGTAGCATTTGCAATCCTCTTTGCACATATGTTGGCAGCTGGAGAAGATACAGAGTAAAGGAAAATTGGGGAAGTAACTAGGAACTAATTATTCTATCTCATCACTGAATTAGAATACATGTACGCCGCCCTGTTCCAAATACTCGACGCATACTGTATCAAGTTAAATATAGCCCTTAATTTTCCACTCCTACTCCACCCCAGCGTCTGGGCATTCCTAGGATTTCCTGTAGGATGCTCCTGTCTCTCATCTCTTGGTTTCCCTTAGCAGAGGGTCATGTCCACTCCTTAGATCCTGATGGAATTAACACACCGTACAAACTGCAGCGAGTCAGCAGAACTTGCTTAGCAGCTTTATACAGGGCTCTACTTCCCACTAGCAGGTCAATCAACAGATGAGTCCTGCATGCTTATGTGAGTTCCTAAGTCTTGTCACAACACACTTTTTTGCCTGATGACATATTAATTTGTCTCAGAAAGAATTAAAAGGGAGAAAGGCCTGCCGGGAAACTTTGAAATTCATACAATCATAGATCTGGAAGAGACCTCAGGAGGTCATCAAGTCCAGCCCTGTCCAAGGCAGGATCAATCCCAACTAAATCATCCCAGGTAGGGCTTTATTAAGCCAAGACTTAAAAACCTCTAGGGTTGGAGATTCCACCACCTCTCTAGGTTTCACGAGGCATAAGGGAGCAGTCGAAAAAGGCTTCCCTTGTTGACCGATCCGCGTCTTGACTTGCGCGCTGTGCCAATGATCAGCAGAGCTGGCAAAGCGTGGCAGCCATTATTATTTGAATGAAGCCGGGGATATTAAATCCCCGCTTCATTGACTATGTCGGGTAGTCTAATTTACATGCCTCTGGCGACAGAGGCATATAGTCTAGACATACCCTAAATGCTGGATTTGTAAAGCCCCAAATGACATGGGAATTTAAAATCCAAACTGACATTTATCTTGCAAGTGGCCCCTGTTTTTCATACTCCTGTATTAAAACTTCATCATGAGAAGTGCTTGAAATCCTGATCCAAATATTGTCACTTGGTCTTATCTTGAGGCCTCATGTTCTATTGCATATAGATCACTGATTAGAAAACTGCATGATTTTTTTATGTCTTAGCTTTTTGTTTAGAGTTTAAAAAATTGTTTGTTAGGGAAAAGCATATTAGATTTTATTGGCAAGAGTTTCCTGAGTATGATTTAGTTGATTCAGCCAGGAAGGGAAAGACTCTTAAACATGAAGAATTTCCCTCCAGAATACAGTTGCACATGTACCAATCACCAGAAAGAATAGTGATCAAGAGTTCAAAGAAGCTAAGGTATAACGGAAGGGGGGAAAAGGCACAAATAGCAGCATGACAATTTGCAGTACTGACACAGAAAGGAAACTGGAAGGAGGGTTTTGTCTGTGTTTGTAAAATGAATCAGATTTCACATATATTCGTGGCTTGAGAGAAGTGTAAAGAGAAATTGGAATTTCCATTTTATGGCAAATTTTAAGTTTAAAAAAATGTGTTGTTCTAAAATTGGAACAAAAAGCTGAAATTTTGCAACAAAGAAAATTGTAATATAATTATAGGTTCAAAATTATCACAGCTTTTTTGTTAATTTCTATTTCTTTAGATGATTTCAAAAAATAATGTAAACCCCATAAAATTAATATTGAATATAAAAGCCCAAACAAAATTGAAACAGTAGAGTGAAAACAAACCATTGTACTTTATCAAAATGAAATGTTTTTACATTATTCATAGTGAGAAAGTGGAAACAATTTGTTTTAACTTTTTCCACTATAAAATGTCATTGAAATTTTCCTATAAGTTGCGTCAGTTCTGACAAAACTGAGTTTTAGGGGTGGTCATAAATGGTTCATCCAGCTCCAGTATTTATTTGTTCTTCTGCCACACATAATGTGCACTTTACTGTAGAGATTCTTGGAGGCTTGACATTAGCTATGAGGAAACTTGTTTTTTGGGGAGGGGGGATTTTCTGTTTTGTTGCCCCTGTTATTGTTCCCATTGTGTTTGCTGTAAGTTGCTAGTAAATGAAGCAAAATTTAGCTCTGTTAAAGACCCTACTGTATGGGGAGTGAAGCATGTTTTTCTGTTTAATATCACACACCTCACCAACCACATTCTGAAATCTATTAATTCTGCTTCCTTCCCCGAGCTGAGCTGCTCTGAAACATGCCACCACATCCATCCTTCCTTTTATCTGTCTGCATTTTGGTTCACTGAAATGCTTTCCTTAAAAGATTCCCTTCTAAAATGTGCTCCGTTTATATTTTCAGGAACTTCTCCATTATTTACTTGGCACACTCCTGCTTCTTATTGCCTGTATTGTGGCAGTGTCAAACAGCTACAATTTATCAGGACTCATAGCTGGAGCGGTAAGGCTGTTTGTTGGATTACAATGTTTACTAATCCTGAGACTTTGTTACTCTCCTATTTACTGTGTCTTAGAACATTTGTTTGAAGCTTTATTTCTTTACAATCCTATCTTGTTTGGCCTCGGTGGGTGCACTGGCTTCTGACTTCAGTTAACATACCATAACTGCACAAAAGGAAAGCAATTACTGGGGGATTCCAGTTCCCTACCTAGGTGGAGATTAGACATGTCAAAAGAGGTAAAACACAAGGCTCTAGCTGCTTGCAAAACACAAAGAACCGATTGTTTTTGGTGAAGGATGAAGTAACTTCACTACAAAACATGGCGGTTTGTCAGTTTAGCCACAAAACTTATCATGAGCTCAGCATCCCAATGCCCTTTGCATTTGTTCCCCACTTAACAGAGTCCAGTTCAGGGTCTGTGTCCTGAGAACTAAAGTCCACTAGCTACCTCTGAAGTCATCTCTGCTTCCTCAGGCATGAATTTCTACAGAGACTGATTGAGGGGGGCTCCTGTATATGGGAAACTGCATTTTGATGGGAACAGGGTTTAGACTGTGAAACTCACTCCTGCAAGAGTAAAGAATAGTCAGGGGCGCCTCCCCTCTTCAGCACCAACGCTCAGAGTTATTGACATTCCTGAATGTGTTGAGGCTCTGGGCCTGAATATACAACTCATCTCTTGAACTCGGCTTTTCCTGGAGTGAATTATTTACATTTGCCCATATTTATTAAAAACCTTAAAAATGAATCAAGCTACAGGCAAGAAGGGGGGGGGGAGGAGGAGATGTTTGTTTCTGTTCTTAAATACCTGATGCTCAGCACACTTTCAGGTGCACAGGATGAAATTCAACCTTATACTGAGATCTTGCATAATATCTATATATCATTGAAAGCCTGTATAAACCCTAATTTGTGGTTTTAAGTGATTCATATGCCACAGTGGGTGAGTTTCCCCATCAATGAATAAACAATTATGGAATTGGAATGCATGGGACTTTCTACGGTGTAGACAAATGAACATACTTTCTTTTCACATATACCCTTTCTTTTAACAGATATTTGGTTTCTTAGCTACATTCCTTTGCGCTTTGAGCATATGGTTATCCTACAAGATCTCATGTGTTACTCAGTCAACAGGTAAGTATCAAATGTTAATACTAGGCAGAATACTTCACAAATGGAATATTTGTTTTCCATGGTAGAGTTTGTATGGAGGAATTTATTAACATTCTGAATCTTGTAGCTGAATATATTGACAACAGTAACTTATTAAAAGCTAACAATAACAAAATAACCCATGTATCATAATCAGTGAGCATTCCACCTCCTGTTACCCCAACAAAATGAGTTTGCAGTTGGCTTCCTGCATATTTTTTAATCAAATAAATGAATTTGCTTGTGGCAAACCAGACTGACTCTGACTTCCTTTTTAAAGATGCAGCTGTATGACTGGCCACTGCAAGATGTTTGTGCCTTTCTAAAAGGATATTGAAGAAGAGGGTCCACTATGTGCCATGAGGAGATTCTGTGACTGGATTATATACAGTGTTATTTGAAGATTTACTTGAACGTATTATGCAAAGAGAGAAACAACCAATATTGGAACCAAAGAAGTTGGGATCAAAACAGTTTAATTGATAAACTGTTTTTCTAAACTTTAGAGAAGTGCCCTGTCCATCTTGGCAGCTACTTTGTGGCTCCCTCTTACATGCAAAGGGAATATTCAAGCCTCCTGTGGAGAGTTGTTTAATTAGGATCTCTATAATTTTAAAGATGAAAAGATTAATTCTGATTTTCTCCATGCATTTGTAAAAGAAATTCTACAAATTCACCTGATTACTAATTTCAAGGATAATTCCTTTGACAATGCAACTCTTGCACACCAGTGTGCCTAGAAAACCTGTCTTAAATCCTCTTTTTCTTTCTCTTTTGTTGTCTTTGATATTTTTACATCTGTTTGGCCAGCATCAGAAAATACTTTTTCCATGACTGTCTCTTACACAACTCACTGTGAATGCTGCCTTCTACACTCAACTGTAAACTGAGTTTTCTAGATGCCAAATTAATTCTGCTTCTACATTTTAATAGTCATTCATAACCCCAGAAAACTCTTCTCAGTACTATCCAATAGGTTTGCAAGAACATATGTATAGTAGTGTTGCTCCTCATATATATGTATTTGTGTATTTCCATTCTCCCCTCCACGGCAAAAACTTCATGAAGAGGGAAAGTTGCAGATTTCTCAGAAATTATTCTTGAGTAGGGGAGGAAGGATGAGGGAGATTGTGTGGGCCCAAGCACATGTGCATTTTGCCTAGAGCAGAACCATCTGGCTCCTCTTACCTTAACCTGCAGTCTGTATGGATGCCCCTTACCTCTGCTGCCCTGCTAGAACATTGCTTTCAGGGATGCTCTGTGGTGTGACGTTTCCTGGATTCCTCCTAAAGTGGGGTGTTGGTGCAGGAAGAGGTAAGCTGCTGGTTAAGGCAACCAAATGCTGCACTTTCTTCCTCTTGCTGTCCCCTCACTCCCCCAACAGTTCTGTAGATGAGCTAATCTAGAGCTTCTCTGCCCTGCCTTTCCCCCAATGCAGTGGTTCTCAACTCGTTTCAGTCCACCGACCACCAGGCCAATCAAAAAATTTTCCTGGACCACCTCCAGCACATGTAGCACAGGATGAATGACCCAGCAACTACTCAGCACGGCAGCGACACTGACGCGAAGAGCCTCAGACAGAAGTTACTGGCTATACAACATGGTTGTGTCCTATGGATGACTCACTGCGTGCTTGTGAACACAGCGTAAAACAGCCTAATGGTGGCGCCTGCTCACGCTGTGATTTTGGACAATGTTCCTGTGGACCACTGAAAAAGTCACCGTGGACCACCAGTTGAGAACCACAGCCCCAATCCAGCTCCACAGAGTCAGGAACTCCCTGAGCCCTTTTCAAGAAAAGGGGAAGTGTGGCAGAGCGCTCAACCTCCTTGAGTCTGTAACTGCAATGGTGACTGACCTAACCTTGACATTTGTATTAGAAAATTGTTCCAGTGTAACAATGACTCATGAAACAGCCAGAGATAGATGTGCCTTAAATGTTACAGATTTTTACCAACTTCCCACTCTGGGGTCTTATATAGCCTTTGTGCCTTGCAGCTGTAGCTGGTGTGTGTTCTAGTCACTGTGGGCAAAGATGTCTTTTTTTAGTTGTGTGAATTTAGTACTCAGGAATCATGCTGCCTCAAGAGAACATAGTCCCCTAGTTAGCTACAGTCCAGAGGCAGTAAGGGGTGCATGTTTCCTTACTGTGCCCTGCCAGTACATCTCAGCGCTGACCAGGCAGGTTTGAGAAGAGTTAATTCTCTGTGCCTCATTGCCTGCTCTGCTGAAATGCCAGCACTAAGGCTGTTGCAGTGAGCCATGACACACACTCACTGACTAAGCCCCTCTGAGTAATTTTACCTAACTTGGTGACTGACCATGGTTTGGATGAGGGCACTAGAAGTTCATAGCAAGGCTAAAGAGGTGAGTATGTAATTGTAGTGTTAGACTTCTGCTCTTCCCCTCCTCTGAGGGGAATGCTCCTCTGTTACTCGGACATTCCCCAGGCCCTTTTCCATACACAGCCACATGGAAATGGATTTCTGATACAGCAAAGCCAACTGCACAACTACCCCTGCAGCTTGCTGACCGCAGTAGTCAAACAGGGAAGGTGGTGGTTGGCCAAAAATTCTAAGAGGAAGCTGGGATCTCTCCCCACGCAGCTGGTTTGCACAGCTCTCCATCCATCCCTCTTTCCTAGGCAGCTTTCTTCCATACTGCCCTTGTGCCACTGCCCCTTGTGTTACACTGGCATTGGTGGGGCTCCCACACCAGCCTCCTTCCTCCACCCCGCACTGCCACTACTACATGTTGGAAAAATCCCCCATAAGGAGTTCATTGCACTCTAAAGGTCAAAGTGTTTCAGTCTCGCTCTGTGGTGGCCTGAAATGTTTTCTAGAGAATTCATGGAAATTCCCTCTTTGCCTTGCCTCTGGATGCAGAACAGGCAAAATGCTGTGAATTTGCTGTATAATATTGAATACAAGTGTTTAAAAATGAACAATACATTTGTCTTACAGAAGATAATGGCTTAAGAATGAGCTTTTTGTGGCGAGAGGATGCTTATGCAGTTTGACAACTTAATTCTCCTTTTAATTGCTTTCAAATTGTTCAGTTTTCCATTGCTCACCTTTCAAATGGTTGGCTGCATATGTGCTGAAAAAGCAATGGAGAAACATTTTTCAAAGACGGGCGGTGGGAAGGAGCAGCTTGCTCGGTGTAACATGCCCCTCGGAAAAGCAAAGCACGATGAAGTACACTTGGCATGGAAGGAGGCTAGGAGCACTCGAAAGAGGATTCCCAAAACAACAGGGCTGTGTCTAGACTGGCAAGTTTTTCCACAAAATCATCTGCTTTTGCGGAAAAACTTGCCAGCTGTCTACACTGACCACTTGAATTTCCGCAAAAGCACTGACGAGCTCATGTGAGATTGCCAAAATACTATGCTGCTCCCGTTCGGGCAAAAGTCTTTTTCCGAAAAACTTTTGCGCAAAAGGGCCAGTGTAGACAGCAGAGATTTGTTTTCTGCAAAAAAGCCCCAATCGTGAAAATGATGATCGGGGCTTTTTTGCGGAAAAGCGCATCTAGATTAGCCACGGATGCTTTTCTGCAAAAAGTGCTTTTGCGGAAAAGCGTCTTGCCAATCTGGACGCGCTTTTCCGAAAATGCTTTTAACTGAAAACTTTTCCGTTAAACGCATTTCCGGAAAATCATGCCAGTGTAGACGTAGCCCAGTAGTTGTTTCAGGGAGATGCAGAAACACATTGGTCACTGCAGAATTCTAATGTAAGCATGGAACGGGTGGCTTATTTTAGCTGTCAACTCTCATAACTACCATCATGAAGTTGCTAGCAAATATTGCCAGCCATAAAGTTGTTGCATGCCTCCAGGAGCAACAAGATGGAGCTGGAGAGGTGCTTCGTTTTAGCCGCTCTTGTCCATTACTTTCATATTTCACATCCTCTTTCCTTCTGAGTTTACATTCTGCTAAAGCCAAGGGGAAAATGTTATGCTGCCTTCCTCAGGCTTGCATTAGGATGCATCAGTTTACAGCATGTTTCATTTTGTTTTAAGCCCTGATTTTTAAAGTGCCTGCAATGGTGGGACTCTCGAAGGCAGCTTTCAACACAGTGCCACTTATGGGCCAAATGGGGCCTGCATTGCATTGCAACCCCCTGACAGCCCTCAATATAGAAGTGTCTACAAAAACAACTGAATCCCAGATCTGAAGTTGACGTAATTAATGCTGGGACCTGTAGTCTCTGCAGACTGGTCTCTCCTTCCCCCCCCTCACTTTATCTGCCTTACAACACAGCCTGGCACCAATGAAACAGATAAACCGGGAGGCTTTTCATGTAGAGTTAGAGGGCAGGGCCTATTTGAGCCTTGCATTCCCAAATCACCAACATGGGACAGCACTGGATCAGTGATCAAGACCAGTTTAGCATACCAGAACAGTAATTGGAGATTGTGTGCCTAAAGGCTCTGGCAACCAGCAAAGGGACATTCTAAGGCTATATCTACACTAGGGAGGTCAGTGGTTAACCCGTCTGGCTGGAGCAACCTCCTACCCTCCATGGGCAGGGGGGGGAGGGGCCACTCCAGCCTGATTGCATTATGCCGTGAGCAGGGTACAGTTCCAACCCAGCTGGGCCCAATGCCACAGGTGAGGAGGCCACAAGATCCTGTTTGAGCGGTTAAACAGGATTTTAGTTCACTAATCTACACTGGCAACAGTAGTGCAGGCACTCACTACAGCACAGCATGTAAATCCACCTCTCCGTGACGTGGCAGCCAGGTTGGCAGAGAAATTCTTCTGGCCACCTACTACTTTCTACAGCATGGGGTAGGTTGGCGAAGCTACATCTCAGTCATGTGATTTTTTCACACCAAGAGGTAGCTATGCCAACGTAAGTTTTCTGTGTCGACTAGCCTTGGTCCTCAACTCCAGGGGTTCTCAGTCTTTTTCTTTCTGCACCTTCCCTCACCCCTCAAATTCCATAGCCCAACTATGCCACAACTTTTATATATTTTTTAAAAAAGCACCAGAGCAAGCACTAAGGGATAGCTAGTAGCATCACTGCCCACAGCCCTATGCTGTGAAGCAAAGTTGCTCAGGCTTCAGCTTTAGTCCCAGGTGGTAGGGTGTCCGCTTTCTGCCCCAGGCTCCAGCAAGTCTAATGCCGAAACCTGCTTGTGTCCCCCAGGCGGCCTCACAGACCTCTGCTCTACTCATGCACGGCTTTCTTCATGAACCATGACCAAAAGAAGCACAGTGCTGAAGTTGTGGCAATTAAAGCTATAAAGTGCATGGTGGTGGCAAGAACTCCGTTCATACTTGCATAATGATCGTTATGCTCATATTCCTTACACAACAGGCAAAAACAAGGCTTTACAGTTAGTTCCAAACCCCTCTTAAAATAAGAGCATCATTTTGTTGACTCAAGTCTCACTAAACAAGACGCCTACTGCTCAGAATATAAAGATAAAATTAGCCAAGTATGCTGTTTTTAATCACAGTGTTACGTCCTCTGCTCAGCCACATGAATCTCACAGGCCCTAAAGCCAAATCTCTGGGTCCTCTTTATCCCCTTATTCAGAGCTTTATTAAAATCTGGCATTGTCAATGACATTTAATATTGCCTGTGCATGGGGTCGATGGCTGATCTCTAACTGAATTTCAATCATGCATTGTCTTCCAACTTGTGTATATAATTCCAGCTGCTTCCCTGCTACTGTATTACTATAAACAAAAATGGAAATAAATTTCTGGCTTCCATGTGCTGGTTATGACCTGAAACCAGTTAAGCTACCTAGGAAATCAACCCCTCCTCTTTGGGATCCCCAAAGGCTTTCTAAAATCTCCCATAAGCCACTGCATCAGGGAACTGTGCCAGGAATTGTAGGAACTGGTAGCCAGTACAAGTGTTCTCTCTGCTGTCCTACAACCTCATACAAACCCAAACAGACTAGGATATGCAGACCTGTTCCTGTATACACTGGTACATCACTGGCTCAGTGAAGCAATTAAGAAGGCAGGTACTCAATTGCAGCTCAAACACACTCCAAAGCTCTATTTGCACTGAGAATTTTGGACCATCTTACTCTTGCATTAGTACAGGTGAAAGCAACAGTGCAGGCTGGAGTGCAGACAGGATGCAGGTGTTTTTAGCAACCAACCCCTTATTCTGAATGGCACGAGAAAATACAGGGGTAAAGCACACCTGGGTCCTGTCTGCACAATAGACACTGATGGCAAATTTCCTGTCCTGCCTGTGCTTTCCTGGACTGTTTAAATAAGCACAAGTGCAGATGCATATATGCCAAAAACAATGGGAAACTGGTGAGACACTCTGGTTGCTTACTAGCCAGTTATTAAATGTTTGGTGAAACACCCAACTGCCAGACCCTGCTGTCTATACTACTGAGCCATCTAAGATCCTCTTACAAATCGGGTACTCTAAGGTACATTTGAGAGAGGGGTTTCACAGCAATTAAGCAGCCCACAGTTGCAGCAATGCTGCACAATACAGAACACACCTTTGATACAATACAGGAGTCATTGCTAAGTAATGACCTTTTGCAGGTGGCAAATACCCTAAAAATTGGATTTGATTTTCTATTTACTCTAACAGAGTGTCATAGTTCTGGGCCTTGTAGGTCAAAAAGGAAGTTCCTCCTCCCCTCCCCCAGTCTTCATACTGGAACTTATATTAAAAAAAAAAAGTGGTGTTCTGTTGCAGAACAAGCCCTGTTTCCTGTCTGCAGCAGCTAGTTCATATGACCTAGTTGTCCCTGTGATTAGGGCTGCTGAATGGTCATGGCATTTTTTCTGAGTCACAAGGCGAAAAGGGCAAACGCTGTATCACTGTCAAAAACAGAAGTCAGGTAGTGCATTGCATCTCTGCTAATCTTTGTGTTTCGACTGCAGGAACCACTGAAGATGCAGTAACAGTTATGGGAGATCCTATCTCCAAGTTGATCCCATTGAATGTAACAAAAGCAAAAAAAAAATGAATTTTTTCACCTAGCAGATTATGAAAAGCCTCATCGCCACCAAGCCTGAAAACCCTTCTTGGAAAATAATTGATCTATTCCTTTCTTTTTCAAAAGGCGTAGGTGCCAGATTGGGAAGTTAGCAGCAGGTTTGAAATCAGTTTGCAACCAATAAACTATACAGTATTCTCAGTTAGCAACACTCACCAAAAGAAGGGAGGTTAAACCAGAACATGAAACTGGAAGGGGGCATGGGAGAACTTTGAAAATTGTTAATACCAAGCAACTGCCAGTGATGGATTTCTTTTGCCCTCTTGTGGGCAAACTTTTCTGTTGCAGCTTTCAAGCTATTTTAATGCACCCCATGCAAACCATAGCCTGGGCTGACAGCATTCAGGGCAAGACAGACCACACATGCAATCTCAAACATTTGGAAGGTGGGTAGTTACACAAAGCAGAAGGCTCTGTTATACCAAAAAAGAATCATCCCAGAATACAGGGCACTTAAAACTAGCTCACTTTCTCAACACTAAATGGCAATTGCTTTAATTGCTAATGTTTATTAGCAAAATAGAGGCAGCTGCATAAAAAGGGACCTAAAGCTGACATGCTCTTCAAATGGGAGAGCCCAAGCTCCTGTGGTTTCTTGGAGCATGCACACAACTGCCCAGCTCTTTTGAGGAAGAAGAAAGTAATCTTAGTAGCACGTTGACTGGATTCTGAATAAGCTGGTCTGAGAAAGCCCAACTTGTTCGAGGGACAAGTAT